TATAGCAGCCAGATGGTTTTTAATAAAACATTAATGAGACCAGATGGTTCATAACAAACTATTATAGAAGACTTTTGAGACATGCAAGGAAAGTTATCACTTCCTAAGTCCTCATTTATTGTTATTGTAAAAGAAATATAGTTCTGTGACTGCCATCTAATCTACAATTTAAAGTTAGAAACAGCAAGTTCATGCAGATTCATGCAATCTGTTTTCCATATTATTATTGGAGACATCATAGAATCATAGAATGGTTTGGTTTGGAAGGGGACCTTAAAGATCATCTATTTCTAACCCTCTGCCATGGGCAGGGACATCTTTCATTAGATCACATTGCTCAGGGCCCCATCCAGCCTGGCCTTAAACAATTTCCAGGAATGAGACATCCACAACTTCTCTGGGCAACCTGTTCTAGTGCCTTTCCATCCTCACAGTAAAGAATTTCCTCCTAACATTTAATCTAAACTCTTTTTCAGTTGGAAGCCATTCCCTCTTGTCCCATCACTACGACTCCTGAGGAAGACTTCCTCTCCAGCTTCCACGCAACCTTCTCTTATCCAGGCTGAACAGCTCCGACTTTCTCAGCCTTTGTAGGAGAGGTTCTCTAGTACCCTTATCAACTTCATGGCTGTCCTCTGGACTTCCTCCAACAGAAGGGCCACATCGCTAGATGACTTCTTAGGTACATATAATCTATTAGACAAGATCCTAGTCTACCTCTTCTGACAATTTTCTTGAAATCACGGGAAAATCATCAAATAATCACAAGGTTTTCATAGGTAGATCTTTAAAGACACAGAAAACACCCTCACTGCAGGGTTAAGAGAGCTTTTACTGTAGCAGAGGGGAGCCCTGTGCCACAACAAGCGTACTACAGAAAGGTAGATGTACTGCTTTCTCCCATGCCAACACCAATATTTGAGGCACCAAGATCCGAGTTACAGCAAACAGGTTATCCTGATCATGTCTGCCTCCTTCTGCATCTCAGCATGGCACTCTGCAGTGATCCTTCCAAGGGACTAAAATGTCCAGAAGTGAACTCTTTTTTCCTCATACTGGACCATAAAGGTAGCAGAGATGAACCTGGCAATACAAGATGGCCTCTAAGTAGTGGCCAAACTCTTCTTACAGACAAAATCTTCAGACAGAAGCTCACATGAGTGGGTAGGGAGATGCAGCAGAATGATTTTCTGACTGCTTTGAACTCACACAGTCCCTCCTGGTTTACTGCACTCTCCCACTCACCTCCCCTAGGCACGATGCAGTCCCTTGCACTTTGCTAAGCCTGTCACTCGCTGCTGGCACGGTGGCAGGGCTGGTGACAGCTGTAACAGCAGGAGAGCCAGAAAGCTGTTGTTTGCAGCAGGAAATGTTTCAGAGGACTGAATGATACAGGCGAAAAGGACAGAGCATCCCACCAAAATAGGAGAGGAATTTCAATGTGAAAGACAAATGAGGCTGGTTAGTTGATTTGAAAGAAATAAGGAAATAAACAAATAAAACGCTGCTCAGATCTTCTATTCTCACAAAAGGAAATGGGCAAAAAAGAACTTTCTTTCACTGGTGATTTGGCTTACCAGTTGCTGGACACCTTCAAAAAGATTTTCTACCCCAAATATCCTTCTCTTCTAAATAGAAGCCCAAAATAGTTTCACACTTTCTTCCCACTTCCTCCACAGAACTGAGGCCAGCAGACCCTTCTGCAGCCAGTGTGAGGGTTTTAAAAAAAGCCCAGCATTGAGCAACAGCGACCTTTGGATGGCCTCTAGACACCTCAATATGCAGGAAAAATTAGAGCAAGCGCTTTCTAGTCAGGCTGGATGCAGCCTGAAACAATACACTAATGGCTACAAGGCATTACATACCATTAATAAATCTAATAACAAATGCTTATAGGATGCAAAGACCTTTTCTGTTCCTCGTAGGAATAACCGTTCTGCAATGCTGACATCTTGTGGTGACTTGCTCAGTGATTTCTGAAATATCACACCTGAGGAATTTCACAGCCGTGCTCAAAAAGCATTCAACTATTTTGTTGGTGGACTTTTTTTTTCCTTTTAGATGATTGTCTTTTTTTTTATTGACTCACTTATTATATGCATTACTCATTTTTTAAGTTGTGTCTGTGAAGTTCTCATGTCAATTGTCTCACTTTACTTACTTACCTAAATGAGATAGCTGGAACTTGTCCCATATCAAAACCAGTTTGTTCCAGAGGCGAAAGTTTCAGATTTTCTCCCTCTGTTCCTTCTGCAAGAGGATTTTCTCATGCAGGAAAAGTGCAGAAGGATCTGCATTTCATGCTTCTGCTCAGGAGATGGAGCATGTGGCAGACAGATCCCAGTACACACCACACTCAGAATGTGTATTTCTCTGATATGATATTCTCCCTGCCGGCATCCCAGCTGGTCACAAAGTAACGATGGGTTGTGAATTTTGTCTGTGCACTGCACCTAAAGAACATTTCCACGAAGACTGAATGCTCAAAGTGGTTGTTTAATCCTGAATGTCTCCTATTTGCAGCCAGTTTTGCTAACAGTCTTTGAAGCCTGTAAGTGAATTGCTGCATAACCCCAAAAGCATTTTCTAACACTCAGACTTATGTTTCTATCTCTTCTAATGAGAAGCATCTGAAAACTATCCTACATCACTGTGTGTCTTTCAAAGTGGATAGAAGATTTCTGTTGAAGATTTTTCTTGAAAACCTGGGAATATTCCTGGTGTGGGCACCCTTTATTTGGTGTACATGCTGGCAATGTCCTTAAAATGACTAGCAAGTTTCACTAGTTTTATTTCAGTCCTCCCTCCCCAGTGAACATTTCCATGGCAATGTGGTTCAGTGCAACTTCCTGCTTGATTTCTCAAAATATGCTTTAGCAGACTCTTGCATTTGAAATGGATCACACATTGCCACTCCCTGGAAAAAAACACGATAGCTTATGAAACGTGTGCTATTACTGGCCAGATTATTACTGGAGCTAGCAAATCTGCAGCTCGGTGCTGATCCTAAAAAAGAGATCTCTTGAGGATGTGTGGGTGCTTCTTCTCAGGATGAGGCTCTGAGAATGGAGCTTTATAATTTTTATTAGTTCATAAAAATTAAATTATCACAAATGCAGGTACTTAGTTCCATCCTGGCTATTTGTTCAAATTTCTGTAAGCAGGTGCAACCCCAGCAGGGAAATCTATTTTATCATTGATTCAATAAGGGTGTCATCTGGGGAAATCAGAAAGAGGCAGTGAATTAGAATCTGCTAAAATTAGTTGGAAGGTTTGGATATTGTAAGTAGCTAAGGAAGAAATGGATCTACTTCAGCTATGTGCATTAACTGTTACCTCCCACCCAAGACAGTTCATTTAAGGACATTCGGCTTTCAGCTTCCCTTTTTTCCAAAGCCTGGGTGTTTGTCCATCAGGATCTGGTTATGTGACACTTGCGACTACAACCCACAGCCTCAAATGCTCTCTCCTCAAACCACAAGGGAAGCACCCAGCCAGTGGCATGTTTCATGTGAAAAAGATTTCTTTGATATTTATTCTCTTGAAATACTACTCCTTGGGTCTTTGCAGACTCATCTGTTTCTCACTGTATCACTCCTCTGGCATCATAAACAACCGAGTTGTTTTATTGTGGTGGTGTGTTGTTCTCAGAGCGCTGAGATACGGTGACTGAGGTCAGTATTTCATGCTGAGGTTCACGAGCTTGCCCTCCATGCTCCACTGACCACATTTCTCATTTTCTGTTCCCTGGACTAAGGGACCTTGGATTGGGAGTTTCCATTCGGACCACGGCAGTTTCGCAAGGCCCACCTAAAGGGTGGCAATTTAAAGCTGCAAAGCCACAGCCCAAGACGTGGCGGGGCTGTTGCTTCCAGCAGACTTTGCACTGGCCCCGTGCATTTCTGACCACGGGCGACCCGAGCCAGGTTTGAAAGGATGTCGCAAAGATTTCCAGCTCAGCCGTGTCACGGAACATCGCTGAGAGGCAACTGCCTGTAGGGAAAGGCCTGTGTAATGTGACGGGGCGTCACCATGCCAAACCGGCTGTCCCATCCCAGCGGGAATGATCCAGCCGCGCACCTCAGCCCGTCACAGGGCAGCCCCACACTGACACCTCCCGCTGTGCCGGGCCGCTGCCCGCCGCACCGGGACACGGCGAGCACGGCCAGCAGCCCATCCCGCCATCCCTCACGGGGTATTGTCAGCGCCCGGGCAGCAGAAGCCGCCGCGGGGGCTCCCAGGGGGCACGGGCAGCGCCCCGGGCCCGCCCGCTGCCTGTGCCGGGGCGGCGGCCCCGCCCGACATGGCGGAGGCGCCTCGGGCCCCGCTCCGCGCCCGCCCGCTCGGCCGGGGCACCCGGGCGGGGCCTGCGCTCCCCGCGCTGCAGCCCCGCAGGAGCCTCTCCGCCAGCCACGGGAGCTTCCCGGGGCTGCTCGCACAGCTCCTCCGCCCGGGGCGCCTCGCCCGGGGCGCGGCTCGGCTCGTCACGCCCCGCGGGCGGAGCGCGCCGCATCCCCGTTGCCGGCGATGGGAGCGCCGGGAATGCCGTGAGTACGGGGCGGTGGCGAGGCCCGGCCGTGCCTGCCCCCCCCGGGCCGCTGCCGCGCCGCCCTTCCCGGGGGGCAGGAGGAGCCGCCGGGCTGAGCTCGCCGTCCTTCCCGCCCCGGGGGCGAGGCCGGGTGGCCGCAGTTCCGAGCGGGGGCTCTGAGTGGCGTTTCAGCGGGGCCCGGCGGGGCGATGCTCGCCTGCCCGAGCCGGTCTCGGCGAGGCGGGCGGGGGTGTGCTCGCCCAGGACAAGGGCAGCTCGGCCCCTTCCCGGAGTCCTGGCACCCGGCAGCCCAGGAAAGGACGCCGCATACCTCCACGGTGCCCAAGTCTTTGGAGACACGTGCTGCAGAGTCCTTGAGGCACAAAAGAGGGCCACATCCAGTGCTAAAATATGTTGGATGTGTTTCTGGAGACCACGTGCGTCCAAAGACTGAAATGCATTGTGTGAATAGCCCAGCTAGGCTTTGTGTATTAGCTCTTACGGATGCTGTTTTTTTAATGCCTAATAGCGCTTCCAACACCGCGGCTCCAGCCGGGTCCTCTTTGGCCTTCAGGGGTTGTGTTTCCTTCCAGCTTGGTTTGGCAAGGAATGTGCTGGCATTTGGCAATCCAGTTACCATCCTGTATCCTAATTCCCTGTGTACTGTGCCCAGTGTGCTGTGTAACCTTATGTTAAATAGTAAAAAAAAAAAAAAAAAGGCAGTTTTGTATTTTATGTAAAGGATGTAGACTGTAAGAAATATTAGGCACCTGCTGAGAACTTGCTTTTGTGCTGACAGAGGTAAACATGATTATTCTTAAAGTGTTGCTTTGGATCTAATGTCCCACTATATTGAGTTAGGGAGCCGTGATAAAGCAAAGAAACTGGGTGCGATTTTTTTATTTAAGTAAACAGTGAAGTTGCTGTAATTGTCTTCACTTGATCTCATCGCTGTCATTGAATGATCTTTCTGTAGCTCAGGTTCAGGCTAATTTTAAATTTCTCAGTAGGCAAGAAAGGTACTCCTCCTTCCTTTTCTGCTTTTATGCCTGGCTATCAATCTGTAAGAGTGAATTCACTCTGACAGGCGTTTCTTACCAGTTTTGATACCTTCCCTGTAATTCTACCAAACCAAACACAGCTCTATTAAAATTTCCGGAGGCAGAGTTTTCTTAATGCTGGGTCCGTAATCAATCCACGTTCCCTCAGTCAGGATGCCGTCAATCCTGGTGGCTGCATAGGAGTTCCCTGATCTTGGCTAAGGGCATATTCAATTGCTCTCTGTTTTGTGAACTAAGGAAACAAGATATTTGGGTGTGTTGTCAAATTTGTGTTAAAGGCACTATATCCAAAGAGACATAAACAGCAGTTTGGATAGAATGTTCTTGCTTTGCAGGCACAGCTGCACCAGCAACTATGCTCCCTGCAAAGACATTCCCATCACAGCAAAGTGTGGAAGGCACTGACATGCCATTTTGAGGCTGAAAACTATCCCCTTTCTCCTGCCTGGTGAGTCTCGTCAGTCCTTACAAGCACAGTGCTCTTTCCTGGGTGTTCTTTTTGCCTGTCAGAAGTGTGGTGCCTGGGAATGAAGCCAAAACACCATGAATTGGAAGATAAATAGAATGGTGCAGTGGTTTTTCACATGAAGTTTAGTGAGTGTGTAACAATACTAGGAATTGGTTTTTGCAATTTCTTTTACGATAAACTCCTCAGAAATTGGTGGTCTTTTTCTTTTCAGAGACTATGCCTATGTGAGTGGGCTGTGTAGGAAGGTGATCAGAATGAGCAAGCAGTCATGTAAAGCACAGAAATATGTGAAGAAGGTTATGCTAGGGAGAGAAGGCAGCTCGTGCAGCAGGCAGTGAGAATTTTCCTGGTGGTCCCCTCCATTACGAATCAGTTATCTGGCTGTTTGCAAAATACAGTGTCCTGCAAAAGAAGTCCCAGGAATAAAGAAAATTAGTTTTAGTTTGTTTTGGTTTTGTTTTTTTTTTTTCTTCTGCAGTGGAGCTTCATTGCTTTATTCTGTTAAAGTGTTCTCACTGAGATTAAAACCAGGGACATTTAAAGAGGAGAAATGCAAAAAATCAGTCTCAGTTCAGCTTAGGAAAAGGTCAGAGAACAAGAAAGTGAGTGGAAATATTCCCCAGTGCATACAGCTGAGGTTGTGCTGCAGGGTTTGTTGCAGCTGCAATTACAGTGAAAGCCCCAGAAGACTCTTTAGTAAAATGTTATGTGCCTTTGATATTGCTCAAATCCTTTCGATGCAGGTGTTGTTGGAAAACACCCTTTACTTGTACACCCTTTACTCCTTACATAGACTAGGCCATAGAGGATTCATGAGGAGGTAGCTACCTCACCATGAATTGGTAAATACTGTGTGAAATACCCAAAATGGGATTTGGGAAAAACTAATGGAAAGGTAAGTTTCCATCTGCAAAAAGGCTTTTTTCTCCCCTGATACTAAAATACAGAGGCTGTGGTCCAAGCAGTAATACCTTTATTCAGGTTTCCATTTTCTGTCAATAATGCTGAGTACTCACTGCAATATCCACTTTTGTTTGAAGTCTGTTCTGTCTTACTCTGGCCTGGACTTGTCAATGACAAATCTAAGAGCTCTGCAGAGCAAGGCAGGTAATTAATCATAAATGTGTGGATAGCCAGCTGAGACGGCTTATGATCTTAGTTGAACTTTCCAGTCAGTGTCAGCTGGGAGATTCAAAGGAACACTGCCAGATTTTAAAAAAAATTTATTCTGGAGATACCAGTAGCTCAAAAAACATCGAGTTGAAAAACTGAAAAAGATGAGACTTCTTAAGAGGTTCAAATATTGGTTTATTAGACTTGCATGTTTAGCACTTGTAAATGGTCATTTTTACAATTTCTTCTGTGCATTTAGCCAGTTTCCCTTATTGAAAAAATTCCTTGTAAATACCGCTATATGGGTTGCTGAGGATAAAGAAAATCTTACATGATAAGAGATGCTGATTTTTTTAATTAAAATCACTGAAAAGCTATAATAAGATATGTATGTAGCTGTTTAGTGGATATGAATCACAGTTGCAAATAACATACGTTCAATTTAGCTGTAGTTATGTAAATAGAAAACAGAAAATTTGAAAATATTGGAGATAAAAAAAGAGTTCATAAAGAAAAAAATTAATTGAAACTTTCCAGGGGTGTAGTTCAGAAACAAAACTTAGTAACAAAGATGCCAGCTCAAATATTTGTTGCTTTTTATGGAATAATTTTTATTATCCCTATATGTGTTTACTCCCTACTAAAAAGATCAAGATAATTTGTGTGAGTAATAACTAACTACCTTATATGGAGTAAAATGGTTTTATGTTAGGTAATAAAAGAAGGATTATTTAATCCTGGGCCACTGCCCCAGTGCTCTCTTCATCCCAGCCAGTCTCTGTGGGGAACTCATTAGCAGATGCTTTTTCATAGAATTTCAGGTAGGCTGACTAAGTTTTTTCTTCTCTAATAGATTAATTACCTGTGAATGTTCCTTTTAACTAAAATTCTTTTGTTAGTTACTGTGAAAGTTTTTTTACTTCAGGATAAATTGTTTGAACTGTCATTCCCAGGACAGAGTGGAGAAGATGGGATAAAAACGTTACCTGTTCTTGTGTTAATACCAATACTATGAAGAAGTTCTTTAAGTGACAGTGTAAATATTTATGCTTTCCAACCGTAGTTGTTTGAAAACAGATGTATTCTTTCAGGCTTTAATTGATTCCTCAAGATGTTTGCAAAAGCAACAAAGAATTTTGTGAGAGAAACGGACAGTGGAGGTGACTTGATCCCTGTGTCCCACTTGAACGCCTCAGACAAGCTACAGCTTTTGAGCTTAGTTACGAAGAGGAGGAAATTCTGGTGCTGGCAGAAGCCCAAGTATCATTTCTTGACAGTCACCCTGAGTGATGTGCTTACTGAAGACAAACCAGTAAAACCAGGTAAAGCCATACTTGGTCAGCACTATTACTGCAGATAAAAAGAATACAAACCCTAATCTGTTTTGTTATTATTCTCAATCATGTTACTAGAGGACTCCTTTCAGAGGAGTGCTCTGAAGTGTTCTTCTCCATATGTGGAAATGAGATGAATGCCTCTTTTCTCACTTGACTATTCATTTAACTAAAACCGGTAATAATAAATGTTTGTTAAAAAAAAAAGTTTTACCTGTGTAGACTACTGCAATTGAGTGCTGAAGATTGTCAGTCCTACTGTTTAATAACAGTGTTGTCTGCAGTCACAGGAACTCCTGTATACTATTTTTGGGTGGTTCCAGTACGTGATAGCAGTGTGAAACTGTACTGTGCTCAGGGTCAAAAAGTAGTGAATAGACAGTGTCTTGTTGGTGACAGTAGCCCAGAGGGTGCTTTCGCAGGCCAGGCCAGGCCAAGCAAGTTTTACCACTGCTTCCTTTCATCCTGCACAGTCTGTTAAAAATGGTTGACCCTTGTGCTTCTTTCTTCATTCAACTACAACATCCAGGTTTTAGGATTAACAGGATGGAATCCCGTATTTCTGTATGTGTCACAATTCCATACAGGAAAATAAATAAGTCTGTAAGTTAAGATATTAGCTTGGAAGATTAGCTAATTCTGAGTCAGTTCTTTGGTTTATAGGCATATAAGATTCAGAGCTGTTTTAAAACAGTTAGATGTTTCAATTGGTTTTCAGTGAGCTTTGAGACAGCTCTGTAGGAAAATATGCCGAGATAATGCCAAAATGCTAACCCTGTTGTACAGGTGGGTCTGCTTTGTAGCTGAAGTAAGTTTCAATCCTTCTTTATAAATCTTCCATAGCATTTGAACTCAGTATTTCAGTCACCTTATGTATTCCTAAAATGGCAAAAATATAAAAGATAGCAGAGCAAAGATGATGAAAGCCTGAAGGAAGCAGAAATAAGAGTTGTAGAGCTGTAAATTTCATTATTTACCTTTCGGTGCTGTTCCTTGCCTTCACTAACTTGTCATATTTTCTGTAAGTGTCTGTTGTTCCAATCACTTCAGGACCGTTTCAGTACTTCCCTTCACAGGTAGAAATGACTTCTATTGCTTTCCTAGTGATTGTGGAGTCTGACTTTGCAAAATATATGGGGAAGTTTGAAGACTTTATTCAAGGAAGTATTGAAGCATCATTTGTAAAGATCAGCCTGGGAGCTGGAGGGAAGGGCTATGTGGAAAATGAGTCCTCATTTGGAAACCTGAGGAAGCAGGAGATTGACTTGCAGCAGCTTATGAAAGACGTCAAGGACAGGTATGTTTTTAATGTGGGCATCGTAATGGCTGGGAAAGGTTAGAGCTGAAAAGACTTGGGCCAGCTACAGTCACTAAGCAGTCAGTTTTGTGGTGTTGCTGTAGTTTGAAAATTGTTTTTATTGTAAACTCTCATATTCAGGGGATCAATCATATATACAAAAGCGAAATTTTCCGTAGTTTGAAATCTTGATGATCAAACTTTTCCTTTTCATTTTAAAAATATGTCTCTGTGATTTCATTTTACGTATTTGCATGAATACATTACCTACCCCCTTCTTTTGGGGAGTGTGCTGAGGTAAGAATCTGCAAAAAAAATGCATTAGTTTCTCTGTGTTACTGGAGCAAATGCTGTGGAAACTGAATTCTGAATTACTAATATTTTTGTAAGCAGGCTTTGTAATTGTGTATGAGTGTGTGAGCAACTGCACCAGAAAATTGGATTATTTGAAGTTGGAGTAGCAAAGGTGAGCGAGCATGGTCAACACATGTTGTACTAGTTGAACAAAATACAGATCTGTTGCTTCCTGTTATATGCTGTATTAACTGAGGAAACCATATTCTGTATTTTTCAAGAAAGGCAACACTTCCTCACTTTCTGTTCTACTCTGAAATTGGATCTATTTCATGTTGCAATAAGACACTTGTGGACCAAAGTCTACTTGGCGAACAGCTGACAAGTCAAGGGTCTACTCTGTGTTGCAGGTCGTGACTCATGGGAGATGAGGGTGGCTTGGTTGTGACAGCATTGTACTCTAGATCTGCAGCAGGGAGTGTAATGCAATTTAATAACCTTTGCTGATGCTGTGAAGATAAAGATGATAGCTTTTTGTTATCAGTGCAGGAGTTGTCAGAAGCAGTGTAAATTTGCTTTAAATACACTGATGTTCTAGAAATAATCAATTCTCCATTTTCATGGGAACAGATGGCTGGTGTTCTTTGTATTATGAGCATTCACAAGGCAACAGATTTATTCTAATAAGGCACCTTGCTCTCTTTGTACTAAATGCCTTCCTAAAAGCTAAATGTGTGTACCAAGTCTGTAAAATTAATATGCATCTGATATCAGGAAAATAGTGTCAGTCAAGATTTAGGATCTTGTTTCTAGCACTAGAAAAAGTCCTACAGAGAAACAAACTAGAGCGACTTTGATTTAGATCAGTAAGCTTTTGGTTTTCTGAAGTAATTTACCTGCTCTGTTCACACAGAGAATCCTCCCGTAGCGAAGCAACACATCTTGGGTTACAATCCTGAGTGTAACTAAATACTCAGAAATTATGTTATCTTCTTTTGAGTAAATCAGTAGCTCTACACCAATCAATATGTAACTGTAAATAAGGCTGATGTGTGTGCCGCTTTACACAAGGAGCTAGTTCTCAATTCATAGACAAGATGCTCATAGCTTATTAAAGCTTATGATGCACAATGTATAACTGATATCAAGTCAGTCTGCCTTCTGCCAGGTCACTGAAAATGATGAGGATAGCAGAATTCGTGGGGTTTTTTTCTCCAGTGTAATGCAGAGGCTCACTGGAAATGGTGGAAATGCCTTATAGATGAAATTCTGCTTACTTCTTCATAAATATTCTATGGTTTATGATTGATTGTGTCCAAGCTTCAAGCTTTCATCTTGTTCATGGAGCATTTTGTGGAATTCAGGAATGCTGTTGCCTACAGGTTAGTGATTTTTGGATGCAAAATGTTATGGCACTGAGAGGATGTTTACCTGTCAGTCCCTGTGAAATGAGCGTTAGCAAAGTGTTCTTGATGTCATTAAATGACATGTGGTGCTTGTGCTTGTTTGATCAATTATTGCTTCATTTATTATTTCTACATATATAGCCCAATCAAGCTGCATTTTAAAAATGTTCTTGTATTAGGCTGATTAAGTCACAGTTGCAGATAAATAGCAGAAAACTCTAAAAAGTCAAAGCCGTATGCCTTTTAAACTAAGTCATGTGAGCCTTCAGAGTTCAGCAAGCTGGAAGTGCTAGTGGCAGCTAATCGGTTTCCTGTCACTTCTTAGGTGAACCTTCCAAAGGAGAATCCTACTGATCTTTTAATTAGATTCCAGATGCTGCAATGGCTCTTTTTTCTGAAAAGAAATGATAGCTGAGGGATGTGGAATGAGATCCTTCCTGGTTTGCAGAAGCAGTGACATTGTAAACACAGAACACGTAATATACAATATTAAAATAAAGTTAAGCTACTTGTAGGTATATAAACTTGGCATATTTCATTTTACATTATTCTTACTTATGTATTACATTGTGCTTGCTAGTTCACACAGTACTGTAACATACCGATTTTGGGTCAGAATCCTGTGCCTTTAACTCAGTTGGATTGCTGTGGATTTAAAAGTATATTCCATCCTCTATTTTAAGGCATTCAGTACTGTCTACCATAAGATCCTCATAGAGAAGTTGATGAAGTATGGACTGTATGAGCAGACAGTAAGGTGGACTGAAAACTGGCTGAAGGGCTGGACTCAGAACGTGTTGATCAGTGGTACAAAGTCTAGTTGGAGGCCAGTGACTAATTACGTACCCCAGGGGACAATGCTGTGTCCAGTCCTGTTGAACATCTTCATTAATCGTCTGGGTGATGGGGTCAACGAGTGTACCCTCAGCAAATTTGCTGATGACACAAAGGTGGGGGAGTGGCTGATAACACCTGGAGGGTCATTCTGCCTTGCACAGGGACCTGGACAGGCTGGTCTGGTGGGAGCCTCATGTGGTTCAACGAAGGGAAGCGCAAAGTGCTGCACATGGCACAGCACCAGGCATCGGTACATACTGGGGGCTGACCAGCTGGAAAGCGGCTTTGCGGAAAAGATGCTGGGGATCCTGGTGGACATCAGTTGGATATGAGCCAGCAATGTGTGCCTGCTGCAAAGAAAGCCAGTGGTATCCTGGACTGCATGAGGAGGAGTATTGCCGGCAGGTTTGGGGGAGGTGATCCTTCCTCCTCTGCTCAGCACCGCTGAGGCCAAACCTGGAGTACTGTGTGCAGTTTCCTACTACAAGGGAGAGATGGACATACTGGAGAGAGTTCAGTGAAGGGCCACCATGGTGATGAAAACAGCTGGAACACCTCACATTTGTAGAAAGGCTGAGAGAGATGGGACTGCTTAGCTTGGAGAAGAGGAGGCTCGGGCTAGGAGGGAGTGTTATTAACGTGTATAAATACCTGAAGGACAGAGTCAGGCTCTTTTCAGTGGTGCCCAGAGACTGAACAGGAGGCAATAGGCACAATCTGAAACACAGGAGGCTCTGTCTGAACATCAGGAAAGACTCTTTCACTCTAAGGGTAACTGAGGATTGGCACAGGTTGGCCAGGGAGGCTGTGGAGTTTCCCTCCTTGGAGACATGGTCCTAGGCAGACTGCTCTAGGTGGCCCTGCTTTTAAACAGGGGGTTGGACCAGACCAACCTCAACCATTCTGTATTCTTCCCTCCAGTAAAATGGATTATGAGGAGGTTATAATCTCTTAGTTCTCATGGATTAAGAAATTTACTTGTTTGTTTTTACCATTTCACTAAAAGTCGTGTGAGGTGATTGAAAGAGAATTCTGAGGCGACAGTGATGGCAGAAATAGGACCAAGTGGCAGCAGCCAGTCACTTCTCATCAGCTGCAGAAAAAATTGCCTGTCACTCTTTCATCATACCATGTGAATGATTCCTAACTCTCTGATTAGCATATTAGGAAAACAGTGTGTTATTAGCAGCATACTCTGGCATAGTTGAAAAACACTTTTACATTATTGCATATTTCACTGTATTTGAATCAGCGAAAGTGTCCACACTGAGACAAAAATAAGTGTCTGTTCTTAATTGGAGTACAGTGGAGATTCAGACCATTTTGTTATTTATTAAACCTCCTTGAGCATTTATGAGTATGGTGAGAAAACCATTTAGCAAAGGTGCTACATGGTAATATGAAGTCACAGAATGTTATGAGACAGGATTGAATAAAAGCAATTGTGTGTGTGTCCGTGATTTAGAACATAAGGAGCATGCCTTATAAGGAGAAAGGAGAAATAATAAGGAGAAAATAGAGGAACTACCTGTCTCTTGCAGTCTGAGAAGTCTCTGGTATTCTTGGGGAAGATGTTCTATGAAGTAATTGTCAGGTTATTGTGTAGGACAAATAGTGAAATGCTATCAATAAGCTGACTATATCAGATGCTGTGTTCTGTAAGAAGTAGGTCAGAGAGATTATATTTGAAATGGATTAACAAAAGAAATATTATGCCATCTGTGTTTGGTAGAAAGTGGCAGAGTGAGATCTGGTGGATTTTACTCCATGGCATTCATCTGGATGTCTCTATTAGAGCAGGATCAAAGCTGGGTGAAGGCTCTCGCTGTGCAGCAAGCAGCATTTGTATGGAAGACATCAGACTATTGCACATTATAAATGCAGTGGAGAAGAGGCTGTGAGTGTGAGCTGCCCATGTCTCTACAGCCAGGAAAGGACTTGTGCTGAGGTGACCTTGCCCCCAGTGCAGGACTGAAAAGGTTTCTCACTCATGGGTGCTTTGGACTAGTGAAAATCTGTGCAGGTAGCAGTGCTGAGTCCAGTGTGAGGTTGGAGAGTGCTCACAGCAGTAACAATTCTTGGTATTTGTAGCAAATTGTCAAGCTTCTTACTTTGAAGATTCCTGGGTGGGTTACTGAGAAGGCTAGGCAGGATTTGATAGAAGAATGTTTCTAAGGCCTGTGCTTTGTGGACAATTCAGTCAAATTCTATGCCTAAAGGAAAGACCCTCAGTCTCAGCAGTGGGGTTCAGACCAGGCTCCTGCTCTCTGTTTTAACTATGAGAGTCTGCTATATTGCAGGTGTTGTCTGTTTTCTCTTCATTTGGTTTCTGCCTTTCTCCCTTCTTTTCTGCCTTCAGTATGCAGAAAATTGCCTTTGTGCTTCTGTTGTCCACTGCTTTTCTCACACAAGAAAAAAGTCGAATGAAGGTGAAGAAGGTCTTTGCGTTATAGGAGAATGGAAGTGTTTAATCCTGTTAAGTGGGGAGTGAGACCAAAACTCAGAGAGATTATTTTCTGTACATGTTTGACCTATAGAGCTTCCAGTGTAGTAAACCGTTGACCCTAGGAAGGTCATTTAAGCAGAACAAACAATTAAGCAAAACCCCATAATCCTTTTAAATGATCTTTATTTATACAGGCTCATACTCTGTGCGTTGATAATGGGACTGAGCAAACCAAAATTTCATTGTATTTTATACAGTGTTACTTTGAAGTGCTTCAGCTCAGGAGTACAGTGATGTAGGACAGATGGCACAGGGTTGGTGAGGGCTTCTGTGCAATAGATAGTGGAAGAGATGGAACAGAAATAAAAGCTCTAAAACATGACCTGTAACATAAGAAAAATGCAGTGCATTTCATGTGCCTGCATGCATTGTATTATTTGGTGTTATGCTAGCAAGTAAGTTGAGCTGTTGCAAAAATGGAATCACAGGTTGTGGTCGTTGCCCTGCAATACTTGAAGCCCTGCTCTGATTGTCAAACTTTAACCTTGTTGCTTTTTGCTCTTGATGACTGCTTTCAAAGACAATTTAGATAAGCTGGGTATTTGCTTACCTCATGTCATCTCCTTCTTGAGTTCACTGAGAAGAGCAGAATGTTTTGCCTTCAACAGGCTGTGCCCCAGTAATAACTCGTGATGTGCCCACACGCAACCCTAGAGTCTGTTTTATGATAGAAAGTCTAGAGCAGAATATTTAGCTGTGCTGCCCTAGAAAAAAAGGTGTTTGTAGCTGTGGGTGACTGTGTGTGTTTTAAAGCTCTGAATTGAGTACTCACTGAACTTTCTGGGCAGAGGAGAGCATTTCTGATAGCTTTGCAATTGGACACATCCCACTGAAGTCGCTCGAGCCTTGGGACTGAGGCAGTGGCCATGGGTGTGCCACACATGCACCTCTGTGTGGAGGACCCCAGTGCTGCATCAGGGGCCAGGCAGTGAGCTCTGTGCCCTCAAGCATTGGTGTTGCTCTGTAGCCTCTAGTGCTGCGGCAGCTCCTCCAGCACTGTCTCCTAAATCTGCTCACTGTGCCTCTTTGCAAGTTAACCTGTGTCTTCTGACTCTTCCACTCTGCCACTCTGCTGAGTTGTGCATCTGCCCCTCAGAGCCAGGAGTCTGAGCCAGTCCTGCCTCAGGCAGAATACTGTAGAAGCAGATGGAAGAAAAAGTCTCTCGAATTATTTTGTAATTTATTTGTATAGAGTTAGGTCATATTCTATATGCTTCTTTTATTGACATTCATTCAGAAATAGCAAGTCTCTATTTAATCTGTATTTTTCTACCTTAGATTGTTTGGGGTTTTTTTCTCTCTAAATATTGGGGATATCCAGCAAGTTTGTCATCCTCTAAAACCGGCAATAAATATACATGAAAAAAAACCCAAATTGCTTTATGCTTCTTCATTGTATTTTTCCCTGTGTTGCTTCCTAGGTCAGATGTTAAAATTGCAAGGTCTTAGTGTATTGATTTGTATTTTGGAGATGCTTATCACACCACTTCAGAAACATAAATAATTATTGTGAAGTATATGATAGGCTTGATGGTTTGTTGTTGTGATAACTAATGGCTCTGGTTTGGCAGACCCTTCTGAGAGCAGTGATGTTTGTGATTGCTTGACATTTCTTCAATCTTTGCTTAATCCAAAGATTCATTGCATTCCAAGCATAAAGCATGGCTTTGCACCAAAAGAAAAGAAGAGTTATATTAATAATCTGAGGAATGTTTGGGGGTGCTTTTCTAGTGGCTGCTGCATTGCTTCAGAGGTATTTTCTTTCCCTTGTTTAAACAATCAACTTTAAGGTTTTCAGACAGTTCATTCCAACTGATTGAACTTTCATATAAGCATGTAACTCTCCAAAGATCAAAAATTGCCTGAGGATATTTTTAATTCAATAAAACCCAAGCTGACTTCAGACTTACACAGACTGCATAAATTCAAAACTCCAGAATCTAATAAATCTAAAACTTTTTAATTAAAAGTGGAGATATCTCGATTTAAATGGAGTCAGACATGTCTTTCTGTCACATTTTTGGGGAATTGCCATTTAGCTCCATGAATAGCCATTTACAGTAAAAGGGAGGAGAAGAGACTGAATAACTTGAGCCAGGGACAGCAATCCTTTAATCTTCCAGCTGTCTTGCTGGACTTATCTGTTCACAGAAAATACGACATCTCATCTGAGGACCTCCAGTGAGTATTTTACAAAAGTAAAATGTAATTGACATGTTTTAATCAATTAAATAAAATTAAGAAGTTGCTTTAACTGCTACCAAAAATCTGTTAACACCCCAAAAGACAAGGTAGAGGATTTTGTAACCTTTTCTTAGAAAATAAACCTGCTGTATTGTTTCTGGGAATTCACTTTCTGTCTTCCGCTCATTCTAAGAAGAGCCTAATGTTAGAATTATCTCCAGCAGCATTTAAACACGTGCTGAATTACATAGTTCAGTAGGAATGGCTTGTAAAGTTGGGGCCTGGGGTAGAGATTCGAGGTCCCTCCCACAGTTAGTTTTTTTGACTGTGACAGTCCTGGTCATTAATTTTGAATTTTGAGTCTATACACAGGATTTTGTAGTGGGTGTTTTTTTTTCAGTGATCTTCAGTCTTAAAAACCATGAAATCTTGTGTTTTCTCATCCAGCCCTTTGAGGTACTTGGTCAGTGCTAATCCCACTCAGCCCATTCAGGGTTGAAGTGAGCACTGAAACAGATTGTGGCAAGCAGTGAGGTTGGGCATTGAGGCGTTGCTCTCTTAGGGTGGCATCCCCTGCTATGGCCATGATAATGTGACCTACCATGGAATACAGATATTTACTGCTACCAAATAACAAAAGAGGACAAAATTTTGAGGAGATGGCTCATACGGAAACCATTGTTGTTTTTACAATAAAAGCTTCTTCAAGCAATTAAGAAAATGGTTTTTTTCACAATTCTGGTATTTATGTTGTTAATGGTGTCTTTTCTTTTTCAGAACAATAGATCTAAGCTGTAGTTTACTGCAACAAGTAATAGAAAGAAAACGTGAAGTGCTGTGCATCTTGAGAGAAAAGATAATAACAACTCAGAGGTGTACAATATTTGAACATGTCCAGACAGAAGAAAAAGTCAGTGGTGTGATGGGATGCACTGCAAAAACAGTAAAGGTAAAAGTTGTTAAAAATCTGCAAGGAATGGAACATTTGCAGATTATCTGAGAAGAAATTTTGGTTTCTCTAGATAGGCTTCAGAGTATTTTTTGTGCTTCCTTAACGTGTTGAATTTGCTGTACTGCTTAATTGTGAAACTTCAGAAAGGCAAAATGTTTTTTTCTATTGCCTTTCTGGCAAAAGATGCCATCTTTTAGTGTCAGTCTGGAATGTAGCTTCCATCAATACTATCAAATTGCAATTCAGTATTTCTATTTAGATTCCTGCCTACAGCAGAACATAAAGGAAAAATATAGCAATTCATCGAAAGTTGAATAGAAAAATGCATCTCTGAAGCAAATTTATTTGAAAAACCAAGTAATCATTCATCACAAATGGTTGCAGTGTCTACTGAGTTTTCGTATTTATTGGGAAGCTATTTGTTTTTGATCATGGGACTGGAGATTAACTGCATTATGAGGATATCTGAAAAATTGCCTATGAATTGAGAAGGAATTACCAAAGTCAAAACATATGCTCATTCATTTTAAGGTTTTTTTCTAAAGGTAGAGATTAATCGCTACTGTGTACAGGGTGTCTGCAGTAGTAGAAATCTGGGATTTGCAGGACAACCACCCTCTGTGCAAGTGCCACCTTCTGGGTGGTGCTCGCCAGCTGGGCAAAAGATATGTCAGGATAGAATTGGGCAGCGCAGGATACTGAAGTGGGTGCCCATTTCCTAGTGACACGGTGTTTCATGTGTGGCAAAAACTGCACCTGGAACTCAGCTTTATGCTGGGACAGGGTAGCTGAGAGTTTGAGAGCTGCTCTTGGCATTGTGCTCTACCTTTCTCTTCATCTAGTTCCTTTTGCAGATGTCAAATGTAACAGGCTTAAGTTAGACATCACGGAGAATAAAGCACATTCTTTCTCTGTATTTTTCACCTTAATTATATGTTTAAGCTATGCAATAGCTGAATCAGATAAATGGTGAATAAATCTGTCTTTCAGGTTTTAGTAAGTGAAAACGGAAGTATGGTGAAGGATTCTAGTGTGATTCTTGAAATTCCTCCTGCAACCACTATTGCCTACGGTGTAATTGAACTGTTTATAAAGCACAATGGCCAGTTTGGTAAGTGAAAGGCTCATTTTCTGTGGCACCCAGTTCAGCTGTGGACAAAGCTGTCTGTTGGGCAATGACTTTTCCATTTCCCTGTGCACGAAGTTGATGATGTTGTATGGTCTTTTTTGCCTTGATAATTACTTGTGCTGGAAATGCTGCACTTCTGATTTAGTAGTGCTTTTTGATTTGCTTGAATACATTTGAAACTCAGAATAACTTAGGTTTCAGAGGACACAGGAGGTCATCTAGCTTAAGCCCCAGCCAAGGCAGGCCAACTTTTGAACTTAGATCTAAAGTCAGAGTTAGATCAGATTGCTTGTCTACTCCAGAGTTTTGATTATCTCCGGAGACAGAGATTCCATCGCTCCTCTGGGCAGCCTGTTATCATGTTTGACCACCATGGTGGTGACTTTTTTTTTTTTGTCCTTAATATCCTTAATATGAGAATTTCCCTTTCTTTAATTTGTGACTCTTGATTTTTGTCCTGTCATCATACAGAGGAGTTGGCTCTGCCTTCTCTTCACACTTCCCTTGGGTAGTTATAGATAGCAGAAGGTTTCTTCCTTAGCAGTGCTTTCTCCAGGCTGGACAAACCCAGTCTCTCAGCCTCTCCTCATTTTTTATGTTCTTCAGCCTCCTATGATCTTGGTGGCTGTTTTCCAGGTTGCTCCAGTATGTGAATGTGGGGCTTGTACTGCAGAGTCCAGAAGTGGGCACAACACTGAATACAGTCTCCAAACTGAAAATTCAGTTTCCTCAGCCTGCTAGCTACACTCTTGTCAGTGCAGCCCAGGATGCAGCAGACTTCAATAACTGCAGGGGCACACTGCTTAGCCTCTCAAGTTTGTTGTCCAGGTCTTTTTCTACAATTTTGCTTCTAACTAGCTGGCCCTTGGCTCATGCTGTTCCCTTCCCCTGTTGACAGGAGAGTGGCCTGAATGTAAATCAACAGCCAACCAGGAATGTTTAGACAACAGTCGTGTAAGAAAAGAATCATGCGTACAGGAGTGGAATGTAAACTTTTCTAACTTACACTTTCATATACAGATTGCCCTCAGAATGTTTGCAGAAATGTCCTTGTCATGTTTTCTGGTCATGCTTTACTTATGTCAGGTCGAATATTTTTCAGGTTTAAAAAAAATGTTGAAATTGGCTTTGGGGGGGTGTAGCTCTGTTCTGCAGAATCACTTGAGTTTTTCTTTCTTGTCTATCCTTATTTAAACTCCCTGACCTAAAGGAGGTTTCAGGGGATATTATGCAAGAAGAAAGGAAATCAGATGGACTGTGTAGAGATGGAATTTGGGAAGGACTCATGTGGAGAGAAACAGGAGATACATTGAAGAAATAATTCAAGTGCAGTTGAGATTTGAATCCAAGGTGCACTTTATTTGGATAAGAAATGCAGAAGACAATTCTGCATCATCCTCCTTCGATTCACTTCTGATATCAAGGAAGTCAGTAGGCTCGGGAATAGAAGTAAATATTATGTAACCTGAAGTTTCTGAAATGTGGAATTGCTCTGACGTAGACTGAACACAGAGATAATGGCAGAGGACATTGACTTCATGGTTATAATAGAACTGTAATTTAGAGTAATGAGGTGCAATTAAGGCTGTCTGACTACATAGGTGTGTAGCTGATAATCTACTTAAAGGATTTCTAGATGAAATTCCTATGTCCTGCTAGCTGATGATACATGGGTCTTGTTAATGATCTGTATTTCTCTGCTCTTTTTCCACTTCTGCTTCTTTTCCCACTCTTTTTTTTCATATTTAATGTTAATATCTTTCAAGCGCCAAAACCAGCACAGCTTGTTTCTTGTTTTACCTCAAACAACCCATGTCTTGCCTCTTCCTTTTTAATTTGAGCTATTTTCCCTTGCCTGCCTATCACTGAGAAGGTAAAGGGTAGGAACTAACAACAGAATTAAGGATTTGCCAGCAAGAATAAGTATGGTGGAGCCTGAACTTCAGCTTGTTAATGTCTGAGCAGCAATGATCAGTGTCTGTTTGTGGAAATAGAAATGGCCTTTGAAGTTAAATCCAGGAACTAATGTAGTCCTTTCTCATGAGACTAGAAGTTACCTGTAGCAAGTGTAACCAAGTGGGATTCTCTTCAGGGATAATTATGGAATAGGGTGCATATAAACTTTCTACTGTCTTTTGTTTTCGTTGCCACTGGCAGTGCTTGAGTTATTGTTAGGAAGAATGGTATATAAATTTTCTTTAAAATGTTCTGGCTGATGTGACAGAACGTGCTTGGACATTTTTATAAGTAAAATGTGTGGCTTCCTTCCTCTTAAGTATCTGTAAATTGAACAGTCCTAATCTTTTCCACTTTTTCACACACAGGAGTCTCTTTAATTGCTTTCATTGATCATCTCTGGTTTTTGTGCATTTTTGCTAACGTTTCTGAATAACTAACAAGTTCTAACTGCACTGTTGGAGGTTTGTCATCGATTAATGTAATAGCATTCAATGTAGAATTCATTAACAGTCCTATTAATACAAAATTTTGAGTCCTGTGTTTTCCTCTGAATCGAGTCCCATTTCAAGAGTTAACAGCAGGGTCTGTATCTCTTAACACATAGAATCATCTGGGAAGTTTGATTTCCCTTATTAGCATCATTCTGCCTCAAGAGGGGAGTCAGTTTGTCAGCACTGTCTTCCTCCTCAGGGTTCATGTGAAAGCCTTCTTATTATCAGTGAAAGCGAGTTGGCCTGATGGTGCCTCAGCTGCTGTCCGGAGTCTTGTTGCTTTGGGAAGTTCTTAGCTTGTGTTAATCACTTTCTGCTTCTCTGTAAGTCGCTCTTCTCTGTGAAGGGTTATGCAACCATAAAGGTCTGTCGTCTTTCTTCCTCTGTGGCGGAGATTTCTTTGTCTGCTTTCCCTTTGAAAAAGCTTTTTGCTGATGGAGTGCTCTCCATGCTTTCTCATCTGCTTTGAATGTCCTTAATTTAGTGAGACAGAGTCTTACAACTGCAGGAAGGTTATATTTAGGTTTTGTGCCTGGTACACGTGAGCACCGTACTTGATTAGTGTTACATTTTTTTTCCCCCTTTGCTGCCAGGTATTACTTTAAAATTGAGTTTCTTTTGCTAGCCTGCCTGTGTTCTCCTCAGACCTCCTGCAGAGTCCCAGGGGTACAGATTCAGACCTTGCTTTTGAGCCAATAAAAGATGATCAGAATATGCATAGAGCTTTGATTATATTCTGCATCTTTGGGGCACAGTGCTGGACACATGAGCAGAGAACTTGATACTCCAGCTTTCTCAGCATATTAAAGAGGCTTCCTGTACCTTCCAGGAGTTCCTTAACTTGATCAAGCTGAGGGCACTGTGGTGGCAGGAAGAGGGCAGTCCTGGTTGGGTGAGGTCAGTCAGTGCTTGTCACAAAGATGAGGCAGAAAGGATAATCCAGCCAGGACCTGTCATTTCCTCCATGAAGTTACTGCAAAGAGACAGTATATTGCAGAGTGATTCTATTTGGGAACATGCCTAGGTGATGCGCTTTCGAGACTCTCTATTTTCCACTCATCTGGAGAGCTGAGGGTGGACCTGTGGCTTAGCTGAGAAAGAGTAGTCTCATCGGTGCCACGACCAAAAGAAGCTCTGTGGAGGACTCTCAAGAGTTCTTACGAGTCTCAGAGAGTGCTGTTATGTGTCTCCATCATGAGTGGATCAGTAGCCTGCATTACAGCATGTCAGGAGTTCATACCTGCGTCTCCTATATGCAGCATTCAGGTTTTATTGTGTTGGAGAGAAGTTTTCGTGTTATTTGCTGTCTGCATTACTTTAGTTCACAGGAGCTGGTGTCACATTTTGTAGGTGGCAGCTGTACCACAGGATCTTCATCTGTACGTGCTGTACCAAACACCAGGGCTGCAGTAATGCTCAGTAATTCACATGCATAGCAGCATCTGGCATTCTTTCCATCTGGAAGAGACGAGACATGGAGAAATCACATGCAAGAACACTAGAAAATACAAGTTAGCATCTTATTTAGTAATTGCTTGTGTATTTTATTAATTATTGTTTTTAATTGAATTTCTAATTACAGAGTTCTGTCTGTTAGATGAACAGCAAGGAGGTTTTGAAAAAGAAAGCACAGAAGGCTCAACTTACCCCCATTCAGCTCTATTCAGAGATGCTTCATTTCTCTATCAACCAGATGCTGTTGATAATGAGATGTACTCTGGGGCTAAAAACCTCGTTCCCAGTGATGCTTCTATAAGTGTATTGAAACAAGGTATTACCAGAAATGCTTTACATGATTACATTACAGTGAATTAAGCAACATGATAGGGAGAAATAATCTAGTACAATAGAACATAAGAAATCTTGTTAGTTCATTTTAATAGCTCTTATCAGGAACTCTTGGGGAATGCACCAAAACGATATAAAAAATTAGTTCTGCAATAGATATATGCAGTGGACTGTTCCCTAGGAACATCCTGAATCCATTTGTCATAAATACAGTCTTACAAAGTCAGGTGTTTATGTCAGTTCTGTTACATTCCAGATAACCTCTGTAAGATAAGCGATGATTGCTGCTTTCATTCGTAAAGGGTCACTGAAAACACTTTTTTGTATTTGAAAAATACTCTCAGTAAAGCTTCTTAGTTAGAGGTTATTTTAAGTCTCAGAATTACAGAGACTTAGCCTCATTATTTTCAGAGGAGCTTTGTAACTGACAAAATTAAAACATGATTTATACAGAAGTTTGCAAATCGGTAAAATGGGCCAGGTACAAGTTGTTTGTTGTAGGAATGTGGAAGGAAGAGGCAGGGTTGTTACTGGATGAATGAAAAAAGGGAAGACCAATCAAGGCCTCCGAACACACTTTGCTCTTCATCAGTTCTTGGCAGAGTTTTTACAGCTGGTTCTACTGATGAACATCACTTCTGTTATCTCTAAATTTCACCCTTTGTTAATGGTTGTTCAGTAGACTGTGGTCAGAATAGATATTTGTTGTCCCTAAGTAAATTCTGTCATTCTCCTAAGTAGACTTGCTCGAAAGGAATAACTGTCTCCATGTGTATATAAAACCCACTTACTTGTAAAAGAATGGTATGCCACTGTTCTGTGTTTTGTTTTAGCTTGATGTACCTTTGTGCCCTTCTTGCTTAAAAGAGATTGGAGATTAATTAATTAACCTGCACTGTCTCTTGTGGGGAAAAAAAAACTAAAATAATTTGGTTTTGGTAAGGAATTGGAAAGTAGGTTCCTTCTCTGTTATTTGTATAGACAGTCATACAATTGCATCAGATACCAAAAATATCTGCCTGTGGCTGTGCTTTTTTTTTCCCCAGTGAAGTAACTTTTCAGATATAAAGGACATCTTTTAAAGAGAGCATGTTTCTTGACCAGAGTGACATGAAGGAAGATTTCTTTTAAACAAGGTTGAGAACACTTGCATGCACATATTTTCGGAAAGAGGGGAGAAAACATTCCAACCTTCCAGCTGGCATTATTGATCTGAAAACTTACTTTCTTTTAGCAAAGTGGTAATTCGATGTCACAAAGCATTTAGTTTCATGATCATAGTTGGATTGTGGTGAAAGAAGTGCAGTGCATTCTCTTGTACTGTAATGGATTCAGGATTTCAGTTAAGAAGGCATTTTTGTCCTGATTATTTTAATAATACTTAGGCGAGTGGTGAAGGGCTGTAATTCCTTCTTGCACCTGATGAAATACAAGGACAACAATGTAGGGTCCTAAAAGATCTGTGTGTGGACTTACACCATTGACTTTGTAATTCATACTAACCACAGATCAGAAGTAAATTTATGAGCAGAACTCGTCATTCTGCCAAATAAATGTACGTGTTCTGGAGATAAACTGTCAAGTGAGAAACTTAAGATGTGATTAGTTTGGTTAGCATTAAAATACTGACTTTAAAATATTAAAAATACTGAAAACAAAATGGTGATCCTTGGTAGCTGTTCTTCTTTCTTAGAGTTTTCATTGAGGCTTCATTGGCTCCTTAGGAATTTTAACCAGATCTGTTTCAGCCTTGCATTATAACTTGTGCTCGTGGAAATCAGGATGTCAGGGTGTGGCAATAAATGGACTTGTGAAACACATAGCAAAAATGTTAACTGTTTTTACTGGCATTTGTGTAGAAGTACTTAGTTTTACTTTTTACTGCTTTCTTGGGAAAGATCTGTCACAGTTGAAGACCCAGTTCCAGCCCTTTGTGAAGCTTCCAGAAGACAAGCAAAGAGCTTTATATAAAACCCTTTGTGAACTCTTGCTCCATGAAGAAATGGTGACTGCCCTGGGGGATGTGGTAAGATGAAAAAACTTTGGCTTGCTTCCTAAAAGTAATTTCAGATTAGCACGAACATTCTCTTTTGCTTGAATTTTTCTCTTTTCAAGAAGTTTTGCTTATTCTTTTGCTTTCAGTTTGATGATATCTGCACAGGAGATGAGCCAGATCTGGAGGAGTTAAAACCTGCACAACAAAGAGACCTCCTTGACTTCTTGCAGCTCCTAGGGTGCAGTTTACAGAGTGAGTTGTTGTTGCAGAAATATCAGCCTCAGGATGTAGAGCTTTTCTCAGCTGCTCACCTTCTCATCAGTGCTATCTCTGGTATGTTCTTAAGAGCCTTATTTTTTTAATTTGATTTTCCTCTTAGAAGCTCCCTCCATTCTAAAGCATTTATGGCTCTCTTTGAGCAGTTGGTGGCTGAGCGAACATAAATTGTTCTGTTCCTTTTTTATGAGTTTGGTATACTATGCTTAGCATTCCTGCCTGTGAATTAAATTCAGCCCTCAATCACTGACAGATTTTGCGTGTAAAATACACATTCCCTCAAGGCTGCTCGACTCTGCTTCTGCTGAGTGTGGGCATTTGCAGTTTGGCAAGCTAATTTCTATACTTATGGCATGCCAGAGTTCTTCCCGCCTAAGTGCTGGGAATTACAAATTAGGTGGTGTCTCCTGTGTAACAGCGGATATTGTTGAGGTGCAAACCAAATTTAGCAAAAATGGGTTTAACACAGAGACACTGCAATTAGAAGGTTGTTTTGCAGCTACTGAAACAGGGAGATTAAACATAAATGTCAAACAAATGCCATCCTCGCAATCTAGTTGGCACCACAGTGTTAATTAAAAGCTACCTGCAAAGTCCACGACAGACTTCCCTGGCTTTTTCTCTTCTCTATCATATATAAAGAATTTCCTGACATTAAGGTAATGAAGGGAAGTCCAGTGTAGATGTGGCACCGTGCAGCAAAATGTCAGCGTGCATCCATATACACACAGTACCCAGGTAGGATAGTTAAACTCATTTGTGGAGACAGAAAAGAAGTAGAAAGCAGAAACCTGCTGATGTGGTAAGACTTGTCAGATGCTATTAACAGCAGGGTGCAGTTAATTGAGTGTGTTGCATTATCACCTGACTTTGGACATAATGTCTTCTGCTAAAGTCCAGGCATAAGTGTAGCTGGATCAATCTTCAAAAGCTCTTTTATCCCTGTTGCCTGTTAGGAATTACAGCCTTTTTGTTAGAGAGTTGAAGGGCACCACTGGGATCATTTACTCCATCTCCCAGCCCGAAGGCAGTCTCAGCTGTGCCATTTCCTCTCAGATTGTGGTTTGCAGAAGTCAGTGTCTCGTATAAATTTTGAGAGCATAGGCCCTTGTTTTATTTGAGGCCTAAGTCATTTATTCAGCCTGTAGACTTGGGGTGGAAACACTGGGGAGATACTTTGGGGAGAGAGAAGGATGATGGGATGGAAATCCCCTTCTCTTCTAGTACCTTTTCTCAAGGGCAGAAGTAGGCAGACCCATTGCCCATCCCATTTTATTATGCAGGCAGGAAAGGGTTGGATCAACTTCTTCCAAACATCCAGTAACAGAGCTCCCTGTTAAAGGGAGCAGCCAGCCTCATGCAGCCTTCACTGGAAACAATCTTTCCCTGTTAATGTTTCCTTCACAGAGCTGTCTGATTACACTCTGGTCCTGCTGCGTGCCTGCTGTGATCTTCAGGTTGTTCCAGCGTTGTGTTGTTTGGTGAGTAATGGAGATGTGGCTGTGTGGCTCGTGGGCCCCGCAGCAGGAACCACTGTGTCCTTGGCTTCATGTGTTTCTCACCCAATAAAGGAGATGTTGGGCTTCAGTGCGAATTTCAGCCGTAGGCAGTGCTTAGCCAAGGTCAGTCAGACAGTGCCAAACGAAGCACGTAATTTACTGCAGGTGGATACCTAACTTCTAAACATTCCTGTATTTGGGAGGTTGTGAGCAAAAGAAAATTGTAACTTGAGCTTGAATTTTAATTTACAATAGTCTCAGTAACAGTAATCACCTCCCCTTGGGAAACAGAAATTCCCTTTTGATAGCAGCAGTGCTTGAGCCATGGCGAATCTGAAGTCCCAAAAGTCTGAGACCATGTATTGAAACTGCTGAAGGAACAGTGCAGGGCATTAGAGGGATGGAGTGCCTCTCCTATGAGGAAAGGGTAAGAGAATTGGGTTTGTTCAGCCTGGAGAGGAGAAGGCTTTGGGGTGACCTGATTGCAGCTTCCAGTACCTTAAGGAAGCCTACACAAAAACTGGAGAGAGACTTTTTACAAGAGCACATAGCGACATGGACAAGGAGGAATGGATTCAAACTGAAAGAGGGTAGGTTTAAATCAAGGTGCTAGTAAGAAATTCTTTACTGTGAGGGTGGTGAGGTTGCTCAGAGAAGCTGTGGATGCCCCATCCCTGGAAGTGTTTAAGGCCAGATTGGATGGGGCTTTGAATAACCTGGTCTAGTGAAAAGTGCCTACGGCAGCATGGGGATTGAACTAGGTGATCTCTAAGGTCCCTTCCAAACTAAAACATTCTATGTTTTTATCATTTTTTGAGATTTTTAAGCTCACTTACAAAAACAATAGTAAAATCTTTTAAACATGTAGGGGCAAGGGGAGTGCTACTGTTTGCTCAGAGTGAGAGTTAAGTGTGATTTGCAGTGAGAGAAGTTGAACTCTGGAAACAGATGGACAGTAAGGAGGGATGTTTCTCCTTAAAGGATGGCACAGAATTTTGGTTCTGGATCAGTAAGGCCAACAGTAAAGGGAATCTTACCCTTTTGGTGCTGCCTTGTAAGCTTTACAGTGGCTTTGTATGAAAGAAGTGAGCTGTGCAATGGCAGGAACAGCACTGCTTGGAAAATGTTTTCATGTCTCTCATCTTTTGCTCTCATAAATACAGCCTGACGTCGCTTCAGCCGATGGCACTGTGGCGCTGAGCAGTCCTTTGGTGACCACTCTCACTGACAGGAGAAGATTTGATGTCGTGAAAAGGCTGTTGGCTTCATCAAACATTAATTTGGAAATGACAGAGTCTTCTGTAAAAGCTGTAACTATGAAAGAACCTCGATTCTTCCCACTTGTTCTTTATGTTGCACTGTGTGGGCTTCATGCTTTAGGTGGGAATGTATAGCAGCTGTACTGAGTATCCAGTTTTGGCTCTAGCCTGTTCTTTCTTCCGTAGCTCCGTAGTGTTGGTGTCTTTGGGCTAAGCAGTAGAGCTGCTCCGTTGGGTCCTTAGGGCAGCACAGCCAGGCGTTAGGGCAGTTCCAGTGGAAAATACATAAATGAAGGATGAAGGAGGGGAATTAAAGAGGAGAAGTGAGGAACAGAAATTGAGCAGAGCTGTTGTGGTAGTTGTCAGATTGCAGGGCAGTAGAAACCTGATTGCTTGCATTAATATGCGTGGGAGAAAACAGCAAAGTACAAACCGCTTTTTTTCAAGCAAGCAGACAAAGCAGGCTGTGGAAATCCAGGGTTCTGCAATGCAGCAATTGTTTTGCTCCTTTAAGACTGGATGTGCAGCATGCCTTCACTCTGGAGCAGGTGGAATGAAGGGCTCTCAAAGAGGTACTTGATTAGGTTGTCTTATTGTTGCTTGGTGTTTCCTGCGCAATGCAGGAAATATAAAATCCTTTTTTTTTTTTTTTTCAAAAACTAAGGCCACCTTAGGGATTTATGCATCTATACAGCATTTCTGTTTTCTAATAAGTTTTTACTCACCTTAGCAAGTTTCATCTGTTTAAATTGCATATGGAACTTTGAAGTACGGCAGTGCCTTTTGGTGTGTGCACATGAAGGGTCCCTGCTGCACACCACAAAAATGATCATTTCACCCACAGGACATTTTAAGTGCAGATACTTTGCTCGTTTCTTTGACTAACAGCAAAGCGTCAGTGAAGCACTGCGTGCTTTGAGCTATTCTGCCTTTTTTTCATCATAATTTTTTGTAATTGTGGATGGAACAGCAATGCAGCAGAGATCACTGTAAATGTGGGCTTGGGAAGATGATGTCCAGGTAAGTGGAATATCAGGGCTTGCAGATAAGACTCTGAGATAGCTGACAAACAAGCAGGAACCTATGTGGGGGTGATCAGTAACCAGGCCCTGCAGCATAGTTGGTTGGTAGGAATCCTGCTTGTTTCCTGCTCTATTCCCACATGATCTTGAGCAGATTGTCTAAGAAATTATCAGAAGTCACCTCAGTTCAGCTTTCCCTGAGGACATGGACTTTGCAGAAGAGCACTGTGGAACCTTTCCATACCCCGAGAGCCCAGGGTAGCTCTGCACGCTGCACCGGGGGCGTTTCTGCATCTCACCTATTAAATGAAGCTGATGGTATTGCCTGAACCTTGCACTGGTGTAGATGGAAAGATCCTTTAGGAGGATGGAAGCATGTAGCTCTGCTTCTGGAATGATGTGTGTAAGTGGGAAAGCCTTCCTTTGCCAATCACTACTCAAAAGTTGCCTCTGTAAATAATTTATCAAAACTTTCTATTAAATGTTATGTCAAAACAAGAGAACAACTTATAACATCATGCATGTAATTTCCATTGTTTTTCTTTTTGGGGTTCCCTTGGCTTTGAAAGGGGGTGCCACTGTCCATGTGCTCTGATCTTCCTTACAGAGCTTTGGTGTGAGCCTTCTGTGCACTCACTGCTTTCAGGATGTGACTTTGTGTCACACATTTAGAAGGGGGAACTTGTTTAAAGAGGTGGAAAACCCCCCAGAGGCTGGGTGTTCTGTGGAGACACCATTAAAAAGAAAAGGTTTTGTTTGTTTCCTGCTGTTTTGGCTTCAGATGTGACTAGGCTTTTGCCTCAGCTCAATCCACCGAACGGGCAGCCTTGGATGTGGGCAGCAGGAGAGACGCTTGGGCAAACAGGAGTGTGTCCCAGGGAGCCCAGGCTTCCTGCTCGTCACGAGGATTGCTTGGGTCTCTTGGCTCCTCAGCTCATCTGCTGCTGTGCTTTTAGATTGATCAGTGCATCTGCAGAAGTCATTGGCTGCACTTCAGCCTTGGCTTTGTCCTTAGGTGCTCTTTGTGGAAGGGCTTCCCAGCTTTCCTCCATTTGGCAGCACTCCTGTGACCACAGAAGCACCTCTAGAGCAGCAGGTAGGGTAGAATGGCCTTTTTAGAACTGAGGGAGCAGCACAACTGGGCAAAAAAAGAAATAGTAAGGCAGGTTGTATGATCACCGTTTTATCTCCACTTCCTTCTTCCATGCTCTTCAGTGCAAGATTGTTACACATGAGAATTTTTAAAATAGCTCAGACTGGGAATAAGAAGATCCAAGGGAGCAAGAGAAGCAGTCTTGTCTCTCAAGTAATTCCCGTCCTGCCCTTCCCTAAGCTAAGAATATAGCTCTTCAGGGACCATCTTGGACAAACCAGCAATTCCTTGTGACAGGCTGGCCTCAGACAGAAAATGCTTTTTCAAGGTTAGATGTGGTCTTCCCTAGGAAGGGAATTGGTGAAAGAGCTGTAGGGTGCTTCAGAGAAGGCTGAAGCTTGTCTCACAAAAGATTTGATTTCACATCCTGCCTTACCTCCCAAAAATACCGCTTCCCTTTGCATTCCCTAGGAGGAAGGGGGAAGAATCCATGCCTTTGCAATCTGGAAGGAAGTCAGCAGCCTCTTTTGAAAAAGCATGTGCTGTCTCCAGAGGCCAGCAGGCTCTGCCTTGCTGCCGGTAACCAGCACTTTCCTCCTTCAAGCTGCTCAGTCCCGAGTCCCCCAGGCTTTTGCACACTGGCAAATTACAGTGCAGGCCCAGGAGAGCAACCCTCAGTGCTGCAGGGCTCAGAAAACAGGGCACCCAGCTTTGCAACGGTGACGTTCTCAGGGTGGCCAAAGAGGCCCCGAGGTCTCCCTCTTCATGGAATGGGGATTTTGGCACATTCATGAAAATGGAGATAAACAAGAAACAACTGAAAAGCTGCTTTTCTGAACGTGGAGCACCTGAGATCTGGAGATAAAAAGGCAGACTGCTGCTGGATACCTTATTTGGCTAGAATTCAAGAGTATGACCAAAAACAATCAGAAAAAAAATTGCATTTTTTTCAATATTAAATCTTTATTATATACAAAAATATTTTGTTGGGAATTAACAGAATTTCATCATTTGTACATTAACATTTTTATGTTTGGCTGTGTTTATTGTGAAAATATTAGCTGTGAAAAAGACAAGGAGGGAGGTCTTAGAAAACAAGTCACAATTTAAAAACATCCCACATAGTAGCTGACTTTATCAGTATGAAGTCACAATGCTAACAAGTCCCATATCCTAGGCCTGCTCTACAGTACAGTATTCAAACAATTAGGTACTAAATAATTTTCAGGTTTACATTAAAGAGTTTAGCTAATAGTTAACCTTTTTTTTTTTGTAGGAAGTTCTCAGCTAAAGAAACTATTTTTTTTTTTACAGGAGAGCAGTTTTGAAAATTTTACAAATGTCAAATCCAGTTTAATTTAATATGCTTTAGAAATGAAAAAAAAAAATCAAAAAACCAACCAACAAAAAACCAAAAACCAAACAAAAACCACACGAGCTTCCAACTGGCAAAACCAGTTGTGAAAAGAAGCAAGGTAAGGAAACATACGGTGACAGAGTTCTAATAGACATTTAAACCCAAACACTTAACCAAGATTCTACAATCCTTAGCCCAGTGTAGGGTGGGAGACAGGCAAACTTTCTTGTATTTTAAAATCCACAGAGGTGGTTCCCCTCCTTATACCACAGTGCACAAATGTTACGCACAGGTAATATATGATAGGGGACCAGGGCAGGAAAGGGATGCTCAACATGCATTTTCATAGGGGAAAAAATATATTTGAACAGTTATCTCCATATATAATTGTGTACAAGACCTAAACCAACCAAATAAAAATCAGTCAAGTTTTTCTTTGCAACCAACAGTTTGGCTGCCACCCTGGAACTGTACAAAGCAATGCCGTTCATTTTGCTCTACGCTACGTATCATGTGAGAGGTCAAATAACGGAGACGATAACGTGGGGTTTTGGAAGAGGCTCTGCTGTGTTTTAGGTAAATGCTGGCTCCCTGTGGAGTAATACTTGGCTCAGCCACGAGGACAGCCAAAGTTGCACGGAGAAGCTTTGGCATGGAGCTGCTGCCGTAAAAGGGGAAAGGCTAAATGGGAAAAGCTGTTTCCAGGACTACTTTAACTATGTTGTCCAACGACTGCCCTAATACCAAAAGGAACTGCATACTCAGTGAATGTAAGAAATGTTTCCAAATACTGAGAAAAAAATTAATTTACTTCAAGTGTAATTCATTGCATAAAATATAAATATTGCTGAACCCCTACTGAATAAATTCTTTTTGTAGGTGAAATTGCTTAACAGCCTTCACCAAGCTGGGTTTTGTTTTAAACCTGTGCAGGTAAATCTCAGCTGCAATACCAGCAAATGAACTCAGAGTTCAGCAGTTGAAAATGGGACCATTTGTGGAATAGCATCCCACCATGGAGAATTCAGGAAAATTAGCAGATACTGCCTGAATTACTTGTAGTATTCACCCCTAAGGTTTACGTGTGTGTGTGTGTGTACATGAGCACACTCTTAATATGTTTGGAAGCCAACGTTGCCTGTAAAATAACCCAAACTGGTTATTTTACAAGCATTTTTTATTCTATTTTTAAAGTGTCTCTCTTGGGCCTAAAACCAGTTTATACTAGTCCTAAGTACTGATGTTTAATATGGACTGTTTAGCTCTACAAGACACCAGTGGAGAATCCCAGACAATGTCCATCAGAATGCCTCTTAAACAAACATACTTGAAAACTGAGGAGAGGCCAAAAAAAATAAACAAGACAAAACAAAAAAAAAGTGGGCCAGGACTTCAGCATCGTCAGTCACCACAGTCCACCAGAGAAAGCAAATTAAAGTACCTTTAAGTACTGAAACCCTTTCAATGGCCCATGAGAGGTTTTGGGGGACAGCTGGGAGCTAAGGGGTTCTTAAGGCAAGAGGCCTAGCAGACTACAAGTCTTTATATCCAGTAACCACTAGGTAGACATCAATAAAGTGATCTCACCACTTTTGCAAAAGCAGTACCATGAAGTTTGGCAATAACAATGTGATAGTTGAACCCTTTGGAATTTGGGTGAGGCAGGAAAGAAACCCTGCATGAAACAAACAGTCCGTACAGATTCGCGTGACAGATGTGACAGAGCTCCAGCTGTAGTTTGTTTCAGAGCTGCACTTACAGGCACAGCGAGCGAGGAACAGCATCTGCCTCAAGGTTCAGTCTGAACAGAGCAGTAAGCTAGAGGAAGCCTGAATGGGAAACCAAGGAATAGGTGAAGGAAGTTTGAATTTATGTACACAATATTAGCTCATGTGTAAGGACAGGTAAGAACCCATAGCCTTATTTCCAGAGTGCTCTTCTTGATCATCCTCCACTGGTCCTTAAGCACTGCAGAGAGGCCATCTGGGCTCAAGGGGTACCCAGCCAAGGATTTTCTGTGCTTCAAAGAGAAAAAAGTTTCCTATTTCTCAGCTGAATCACCCTCTTCAAAACAAAACCAAACCCAGATGACTTCCTGAGCACTGAGCTGCAGGCAATTTGTACAGCAAGTCACTTAGGTATGATTTTAGAAGATGCAGTGAGTACAGAGGATGGAGAAATAAATGTCACATTTTGAGCCTATCCAAGATGTGACAGTTTATATAAACACAAATTCAAAAGCAATGAGCTGATCTGCCATCCCGCTTCACAAAGCTTTTGTATGACTAAGTACACAGAGCTGCCCTGATCTGAGAACACGGCACAAGTTACAGATACTGCCTTGGTTATAAATTCAATTTTCCTTGCCTACAAAGGTCTGTGATTTTGCTCCAATTTTACCTTCACTGTATATCTGCAGAACATTTTGAAAGACCTTTATAAATCTATGCAAGATGACATATTCCATTATAATTATCCCACTAAACTTGAACTGCATCTTGTCACGTGATGCAGAACCTAAAATAGACCTGCTAGTAACATTTAGAGACAGCAAGGTAATCACCTGGGTACACATGCACCAGGGTATTTACATGAAAGTTGAGACTGGTGCACGCTTTAAGAGAATTTTTGGTGAATTCGGGGAAATAACTTACGGGTCTTGGCATACTGACTGTACTTCTATGTATAACTTTTCATTCACAGGGCAACGACAGTGTTTCTTCTATAAGTCTCTATATGTACAGAATTTTACAGCACCTCATGCACTGTCCAAAACAGATAGAAATTACAGATAAATATAGAATTTTTTAGATTGAAATATCTGTATATTTAGAAAAATATACATTAGTAAACACAATAAACCAGGTAGAGAAGTGTACCAGTTCTAAAGTCTCACATGCAGGTACATTTCTGGATTAAGTCATGGTACCTTAGTAATGTGATAACCAACATGAGCATTTTTTGTTTTACCATCCACATACATACATATACACAGACAACTACTTGATAATTTACTTTTCTAAACTACTTAAATATTTATCTTGTGATATATACCACATATCTTAAAC